TTTCACCATGTTGGCCAGGCTGGTCTCGAACTCCTGAGCTCAGGTGATCCACCCGCCTCAGTCTCCCAAAGTGCTAGGATTACAGCTGTGAGCCACCATGCCCAGCCCATTACACGCTATTCCTATCCAATGTTTTTGTCCTGTGCCTTTTTGAATCTCACAATTACATTTTAGATAATATTTAAAATGTAATATAGACTCTCCATTTTACTAGTCCTTCTTGTATCTTAGAATATCTTGCTGAGATAGTATTGCTTATTTGGTCTCTCAGAAGTTACTGTAGCTCAGGATGCAATGATAAATTCATTTTACATTCATCTGTAAATACTTTATTTCATCTCCTGTCTTAAAGGATAAAACTGATTACACGATCAGTTGAAAATTTTTTTTTAAAGTTTGATAATACCATCCCATTCAAGTTTAGTTGAATGGTGAAGATGGCTTCCATTGTTGTCACTGAAGAATCTTCTATCTGCTTGTTTTTCCTTTGTGTGTTTTCTTGGGGTTCTTCAAAGAAACAGAACCAAGAGGGCATGTGTGTGCTATCAGAAAGAGAGAGGGGGCAAAAACAGGACAGAGAATTTAAGGAATTGGCTCACATGATTGTGGGGCTGGCAAGTCTGAAGTCTATAGGAAAGGCCAGCAGGCCAGAGACCCAGGGAGGGGTAATGTTGCCTCTTGAGTTGGAAGGCTGTCTAGAGGCAGAATTCCTTCTTCGTTTGGGATCTCAGTCTTTTTTCAAAGGCCTTCAACTGATTGGAGGAGGCCCACCCACATTGTGATGGTCTATCTGCCCTACTCAAAGTCTACTGATTACAAATGTTCATTGCATCTAAAAGATACCTTCAAAGCAACATCTACTCACAGGGACATCTACCGCTGTGTTTCATCAAATGCTGGGACCCATGGCCCAGCCAAGCACATACAACATTAACCATCATATGTGGTCTATAGTTTTTCTCTGTCTCTTCAATTTCAAATGAAATCAATTCCTAATAAAGAGAAGTAAAAAAATCATTATGAAGACTGCAATAGTCCAGTAGAAAAATATTCAAAAAGCACATACGGAATCGTAACCACCTGAGGGTTCTTCCTGCCTGCTGCATAAAGACAGTGGCATTGTAGTAGAGAATGAGTTTAAAAGACCCAACGCTAGTCATGCCACATGGGAGACAGAGTTTGCAGTGGAATCATCTCATGCTCACAGGTTAGAGGTTTTTCAAAGGCAGTCTGGGGAAAGAGGTAGGGATGGTGAGGTAACAGGTACTTGCTGCTGATTGGGACACAGATGAAATCACAGGGGGTCAGAGCTGTCCTCTAGGCTGAATGGATTCTGGGTGGAGCCATAGGAACAGGGTTGGTGGGTCCAAGTGGAGCCATGGATGTCAGACATGCAAAAAAAACCTGAAAAGATACTCTTAAGAGTCAATCTACAATAGTGGTGTGATTTGCAGGGGTAATTGGGGAAGGTGCGTATCTTATAACCTCCAGAATAATAGCTGACACTCGTTTATGTCTGCACCTTAGCAGGACCTGGGTTCTTCTCCTCCCCCCCAGCCTGATGGCCTCCCATTAGCTTTACAAAAGCAGCTGAGTTTAGGGGGAGGCCTATTATCATTTAAAGTATAGCTTAACTGTCTCTCGGCCAAGCATGGTGGCTCATGCCTGTAATTCCAGCACTTTGGGGGGCTGAGGTGGGTGGATCACCTGAAGTCAGGAGATGGAGACCAGCCTGGCCAACATGGTGAAATCCTGTCTCTACTAAAAATACAAAAAATTAGCCGGGCATGGTGATGCAAGCCTGTAATCCCAGCTACCCGGGAAGCTGAGGCAGGAGAATCGCTTGAATCCGGGAGAGAGAGGTTGCCGTGAGCCAAGATCGCGCATCACAGCACTCCAGCCTGGGTGACAGAGCAAGACTCCTTCTCAAAAAAAAAAAAAAAAAAAAGAAAGAAAGAAGAAAAAAACCACATCTCTCAGAGTTAGCTTGGCCCAATAGCCCGGGAATAATTAAGGGAAAGGCAAGATGGGGTGTGGGTTAGCTCACATCTCTTTCACTGTCATAATTTTCTGACAGAATTTTCAGAAGCAGTTTCAGAATTATCAGAGAAAGAAATACAACTAAGCAAAAAACATATGGACATATATATGTTCAATGAAACTGTTAAATGCAAATTGAAAACAATGATGGACCACAGTCATCTTTCAATGTGCCAAATGTTTTAAATGTATTATGTTACAGGAAAGGGGTCCCCATCCATCCAGACCCCAAGAGAGGGTTCTTAGATCTTGCGCAAGAATTCAGGGCAAATCCATATAGTAAAGTGAAAGCAAGTGTATTAGGAAAGTAAAGGAATAAAAGAACGACTACTCCATGGATGGAGCAGCCTCAAGGGCTGCTGGTTGCCTATTTTTATGGTTATTTCTTGATTATATGCTAACTAAGGGGTGAATTATTCATGCCTCCCCTTTCTAGACCAAATAGGGTGACTTCCTGACATTCCCCTGGCATTTGTAAACTGTCATGGCCCAGGTGGGAGGGTGGCAGTGAGGACGACCAGAGGTCACTCTTGTGGCCATCTTGATTTTGGTGGGATTTGGCTGGCTTCTTTACTGCAACCTGTTTTATAAACAAGGTCTTAATGGCCTGTATTCTGTGTTGACTTCCTGTCTTATCCTGCGACTTAGAATGTCTTAACTGTCTGGGAGTGTAGCCCAGCAGGTCTCATTTTACCCAGCTCCTATTTAAGATGGAGTTGCTCTGGTTTAAATGCCTCTGACAATAATGCTGGCGAAATGACAGTGAGGTCACACTTGGACACTGCTCCTGGGACCATATTGAAACATAACAGGGACCATAAAGCTTTCACATCCTTTAACACAGTCGACTTCTGGATCCTATCTAACAAAATTGGTAGACACAAGTACGAGGTTTTCTAATGCAAAGGTTATCACTGGTATTTAAAATGAGAAAAAATTGGGAACTGTGCTGGACAGAATTTTAAAGACACTCCTCTATATTCCATGCCCCCAGTCTCCAGAAGCTGTGAGTGGGATGAGACACTACCACTTCCAACAGTGCAATGGGCTCTGTGATCTGGCACGCTGGACCTCTCATGAGCCCTTAAAGGAGAGAACGTTTGCTGGCAGCAGGAACAGCCAGTCAGAGGGATGCCAACCCTGAAAAGGTTTTGTTCAGCCCCTGGAGACTTGAAAATTGAGGCGGTCAGGTGATGAGGAATGCAGCGGCCTTCAGGATCTGGGAGCTGAGCAGCCCCCAGCTGACAGTCAGCAGGGGAACAGGGAGCAGACCTCAGTCCTACAACCACAAGCAACTGGATCCTGCCAACCTGAAGGAAGCTGGAGATGGATTCCTGCCCAGATTCTCCAGGTAAGAAGCCACCGTCTCACCTGGAGAGAGCCCAGGCAGAGACCCAGCTGAGCCATCAGGACTGTGAGATAATGAATGGATATTGTGAGTGCTATTTGTGGTCATTTGTTATGTTGCCATAAAAAATTAAAATGTAACAGAAACACTAATAGAAAGTAGTATACAATAGAAAACTGATAGTTAGATGATTTAAACACATAACATAGGTGTGTCATATAATGCAGTGCTGGCAGTGCCCAGAAGTCAGGTCTTTGAACCACACTTGGCTACAAGGAGGCAGAAGGGTTCAGGCATTGTGCGTAAATACGATATTTATTTTAGGGAAAAAGGGTTTGATATCAATAAAGATAAGAGGAATTTGTGGGCATTTTAAGTTGAATAGAAACTGTACAAGAATGCACTTCCTTTCCTCATAGGTTTTGTCACGCGCATCCGTGTGAAGAGACCACCAAACAAGCTTTGTGTGAGCAATAAGGCTGTTTATTTCACCTGGGTGCAGGCGGGCTGAGGCCGAAGAGAGAGTCAGCAAAGGGTGGTGGGATTATCATTAGTTCTTACAGGTTTTGGGATAGGCAGTGGAGTTAGGAGCAATGTTTTGCGGGCAGGGGGTGGATCTCACACAGTACATTCTCAAGGGTGGGCAGAATTACAAAGAACCTTCTTAAGGGTGGGGGAGATTACAAAGTACATTGATCGTTAGGGTGGGGCAGAAACAAATCACAATGGTGGAATGTCATCAGTTAAGGCTATTTTCACTTCTTTTGTGGATCTTTAGTTGCTTCAGGCAATCTGGATATATACGTGCAGGTCACAGGGCATATGATGGCTTAGCTTGGGTTCAGAGGCCTGACAGGTTTCAAAATCTCATTTTCTGCAAAATATACGGGTTCACATACACAGTGAGAGTTAGGATCTATATTATCCCAAATAAGTGCTGCAAGTTACATTATGCTTACCTCTAAGTGAGAATTGTGGGTGTCATTGCCAGGGCTATTGTTTAGCTGTTTATTATTTTCCTCAAAGATGATCGTTAATTTAGAAATCTTGCCCTATGTCTAACATAAGCAGGCAGCACTCATTTCCCCACGTCCCTCAGTCTGAGAATGCCCTGTCTCCAAGTTTCTCGTCTCCTGTCCCCAAGAATTTGGAAAGCTTTTAGCAGCCAGAGACTCAGTTCCATAGGCATGTCTAGGCGCTGGGGCAGCAAGACTTGTTCTGGCTTTAACTGCTTCCTGTAGGTATCTTCCCATGGATGGAACATGCGCTGTGCACCATCTTATTTGTGAAATATCCAAGAGATTGCATTTTGAACACTTTAGAGTGCCTATGGATAACTGCATATACTCCAAATATGTAAAAACATAGTAAGTACATTTTGCTAATACGTAGAAGATGCAGGATGTGTAGGAAATCGTCTTATATGTGAAAACATTCTTCTGAGTGCTGGTAATTCCCCATCTTTCAAGGACACACTTCCCCAGAGTCACTCACATTATTTTTCTTCCTCCAGGGTCTCATTTTGAATTTGAATTTCATTCTTTGAAAAACGAGATAGAATTCACATGACTACATGCCTGAATCACTTTGCATCAAACACAGACCACGGGAATAGTTCTCATGAAAACAGTTTATTTTTAATAGTAAAGACTGTAAAGAATTACTCTGATGCATGTATCTCTATGGTGTGCAATTATAGGCAGTTTTTTTTCTGCTTCTTTGTACTCTTTAATTTATAAACATTTTTTAAATGAATAATTTTATAACCCAATAGTCTATAATAGTTATAAAAAAAGAAAAAAGTAAACTAGTTCATAAAACTTAGAAATGTTTAAACACACTACACAGTAAATAAATTATCACTCATATAGAACATCCAATGAAATGTGAAGTTACTATCTAATTGCAGCCACTATATCTAATCCCTCCTGTGAAGAATCTCATTCTCTGTTGGAAACCTCCAAAGAAATGTGGGTGTTTCCAGGGAGAACCCAATTATTGATCAGGAATATTTTCTACCCACATTGCAGATCTAAACTTTTCACCTGTCTCTTAAAACTGAACATCCTAGACCTCACATGCCCTTAGAATCTATTATGTCCCATCTTTTAAGCCAGTCTGAGATTTCATCTAAGGGTTGCCCCCTTCTCACTTTGACTCTAAATGCCAGCCCACCTGCCACACATTTGAAGGGAGGCAGTGTTGGACTAGGCTGGAAATGTATACATTCTTTTTAGGAAGAAAAAAGCAAACATTTTAGAGTGGAGGATGCAAACATTTATATGAATAAACACTAGCTCTGTATTTAGTAACCATAACATGTCCACACAAACAGGTCTTGCTAAGATGCCTGTACTTGGGAGATTTGATGCTGGCTTTGTGTTAAACTGAAGCTGCCTGGACATCTCTTTCTTCTTCCTTACAATATGTATTACCTTCATATTACTGATCACTTGGGTGGGACCCTGATGTTAAGCAGGGAGCAAGCATTGGAGAGGGAGAGTGTAGGGGTTTGGCCCATGCAACTGCTAGAGGTTAAGTTCCTCTAGCCCCACACACTAAAACAAGCACAGCCAGCATCCTCAGATTTCCAGAATGCCTTCCAGGTGAGAATTACGGTTTCGGGGCTTTCCTAGAGTAGCATTTCAGGCTCACTAGAATACCTACCCTGCCCCTGATACCAGGTGTGGTGACTCCTGAAGCCTTCCCATCCATGCAGTGTGGGTGGACTAGCCTCTGAGTTCCCCTGAGCTTGTCTTTATCTACAAACATCCTGGGATCCCATAGTCTGGTTTCTCCTACAGCCTATTGAGGAAAGAGGTAGGTACCCTCCATGGGTGGGACTATGGGCACACCCCTCCTCTCAAAACCTGGTCCCTCTCCACATAAGGGAAGGAAACATACGTCCCTCACCATTGGTGCTCCAATGAGACCACCGTGACCATAGGGCTGGAAACCCACCATCCAGTGCAGAGATTTACTTTCCAGTTCCTGCCTCGGGCCTTCAATCCTGCTATCCCAAATATGCTCACAGGGCATTGGCCCAACTCTTTCCTGAGAGGGCTGAGTGGCTACGGCTGCCATCGCCTAGACATCAGTTCCACACTCTTTTCATCAGTCTGGGATGGGGTTTCCTCATGTTTCAGGTAAGGAAGCTGAGGCTCAGACAAGCAGAGAGTTGTCCCCAAGGCTAGAACTGGGCAGTAGAAAACCCAGGGCTCAAGTTATACACCGTGCAGAGCTCTGTCTTCTTTAACCTGCCACCTCTGCTGACCCTCCTCAATGTCAGTGCCTCCCACAAACACATTTATAATCTAAGTAACAGGATCTTCTCAAACCCATCCTTCTCACCCTACGGAGAAGGGCAGCAACACTGGGGGCCAGCCCAAGGAGGGCACCATGTGGACGATTAAGCCAGCCCGAGGCAGGCAGCTCTGGAGCACCCTGCCTTCCTGTCCTGGCACCAAGCACTCAGTCGTCTTCGATGGTGAGCTCGTGCTGGGTGGCTTCCTCGATGTTCTGAAGCACGTAGATCTCCCACTGTCGCACTCGCTCCATCTGTTTAAAGGAAAGGCATCACCCCATAGCAGCATCCATCTTTACTGGAGACAAGCTCTTCTGTTGCAAAATGTGCTTTAGAAAATAAATGCCTGCTCAAGGTCTGCAGCTGGCCCAGCCAACCCTATATAATTCTGCTTATGTGCTTCAAACATACTTCATATGGGGTACTGTGCCACCCAGAGGGCCCACGCTTGGTGTGGAGACAGATGAGTGTATAGATGAATGGGGTAAGGTACAGATGAGGTGTCTGACAAAGGAGGGGACAGGAACAAAAAGTGCCAGGGATGGGGCAGACAGGCTGCGAGCATGGAGTAGACAAGCCTGCATGGGAGCAGGTGCATAGGTCAGTCTAGATGGGATTTTGTAACTGTGCTCTCTGGAGCCCCCTCTTCTAGGAGGGTGCTTAGGGCAGCTGCACAGGGAACAAAGGAGGCCTCCCCAATTCAGCACAGGGAAGACGAGGATGGGTAAACTCCTGACACTAAACACAATGCCAGGATGGAGTAGAGACTGGAACCTGGGGATTTCGGATGACTGAGCCAGATCACATGGAGTGTGACTGGGGTCCACTGGTCAACAATGGCAGGCCCACCGTGGGTCAGTGGTCAGCATCTTTCTAATGCCCCCAAAGTGTAAGACAGAAGCAAACCCACGGGACTGAGAATAAGGAATGAGAGGAGCCTCCAGAGGGCCAGCTGTAAGAGCTGAAGGCCTGAGCCCAAGCCAGTAGAAGCCACCAGGGGGCGTCCTGGAGCAGAGATGGAGTGGCCAAGGCTCCAAACACTACTGCTGGCCGGCAGAGAGGGCCAGGCTGGGGTCTGCAAGATCAGGTGATCATCTGGTAGGAGGACCAGTGAATTCCCAGTGCCCCCCCCCCCCGAGGTGGGGGCTGCCTTCCTGGTGCCCAGCGCTCATGTCCGTCCACAGAGGGTGACCTCCAGGGAGGCTGCTGAGAGCTGAGGCTCTCAGAGGGCTGTGTGGTACAGGCACTGCCTGTCTGGACTCCCAGAAACTCAGTTTGTCACAGCGACTGAGGAAGAAGCAATAACCTCTGATCATACAGAGGGGCCTCGTGGGGATCCAGGCTCAGCTGGGGGCAGCTGGGATGCTCCATTGGGAGCATCCACAACATGGGTTCCACGTGAGTTGTTGTTCCCCACAAGCTCTACCCATGGTGAAACCTTCAGACCCCTTCTTACCTTCAGCTCCCAGAATACCCCAGCCAGTCCCACCTCCCCTGGCAGCATGAGGATGCTGACTAGCAAGAGGTGGCAGATACGGTGCAGTGAAGAAGCAGTTAACCCCCGGGTGGCCCTTGGTGGACAGTTCCCACTCAGAAGTCGGGACTTTCCATCAACTCCCACCCAGCCCCGTGATGGCCTCTCCAAATCGGGAGGCAGCAGCCAGGCACAGCCACAGGACAGCAGGGCATGGAAGAGAGGCTGGAAAAATCCACTGCAAAATCAGCACCCTCAGAAGGTGAGAGAAGACAGCAAGCAAGCCAGGGTAAAGAACGTGGGGGAGTGCGGCGAGGAAGATACCCCAGAAAATAACATCACCACGCAGTAACTTTGGAAGATAGAACTGAGCAACTCTCCTAAAAAGTAGAAGAAAGGGCTAAATAGCAAATAGAAAACAAACTCGGAGAATTAATCAGGATGTCCAACATCCAACTGCAGAGGATCACAGACAGAGAAAGAATACAGAGCCTGAGGTTAGGAAGGAAAAGTATGGGAAGGTCTCACAGAATCAGACGGGCCCAGGGAGTGTCCAGCACCTGAGGCAAGACTACTCACTCCAAAATGAAACTCAGCACCACCAAGAACCACAAAAGGGACCTGGAGAGGCTTGGGCAGGTGGGAGTCGGGGACAGGGGCACACAGGGCCTTCCGGTTCTGAGAAAGGGCTCCCAGCCTGCTGGCCGGGAAAGTGCCCCTTCTCAGGAAGCTACCAGAACAAGGTCAGAGGCTAAACCAGCAACTGGGCAAGGAGGCAGAATTCTGCCAGGAGAGGGCCAGCGCACCTCCCAACTGCCTGCTACCCTGGGGATCAGAGCCCTTGCAATCATCTTCTCATTGGGTCATTTGAGCTTCACAGCATCTCCAATCAGCAAAGGAAGAGGATGGCCTCTGAGAGACAAAAGTGGGTCTCGGACAGTGTGTGCCTTGCTAGTTCTCCAGCTGTGGCAAGGGCCTACAAACCTGGCTATGGTGAAGGTGGGACATCCCTGTCACAGTGGCCCCCGGGAAGACACCAGGGCCACCCTAGCCAGGGCCTTAGAAATGCAGAAGTGCTCCAGGAATGTTAACAGCTCCCTCTTCAAAGCATAGGAAGATGCCCAGAGACTCAGCACAGCGAGGCCGAGTTTCACTAGAGTAGGCTGTTTTCTGCTACTCTGTAACAAAATGACATATCAGGCCTTCCCTGTCACCCCGATATGTCTGCAAAGCCCCCAAAGCTGAAAGAGTCACCACCCAGACTCCTGTGAGCTAAAGAGCAATGACAAAGCAGTCAGCCCGTGGCAGCCTGGGTGTGGATGCCAGACCACGAGGCCAGGAAGCTCACGTTCACCACAGGCAGCATCAGTCGCAGGGGCCCTCAGAGCCGAAAGCTATCTTGGGACAGGGCAGCAGCAGGTGTCAGAAAGGCTGGACGACCTTGGTCCTGTCCCAGGTGACCTCATGTGCAGAGTATGAGTGTGTTGGTCCCTGGTGCCACGTCATGGGAGCATTAATTGGGAGAAGGAGGGTGTTGAGCGCTCCACGGCCCAAGCAGTGCCCCCTCTCCTAATCTTTCACAGGAACTCAGAACTCCTGGGGGTAAGGGATGGGGACAGGGACAGGGATAATGCATACCGCAGCTGCCCGCTTCTTCGGGTCTCGTCTCTTCCTCCCAGTTGTATTCAGGATCCCAGGCAATCCAGGGTTTTGATGCCAGCTCTTTGCCCGGAGGGACTCTTGCTGCTGCTGCTGCTGCTGCAGCTGCTTCTGGTTCTGCTTCTGCTTCTGCTTCTGCTGCTGCTGCTGTGCTGACGAGGCTGATGTGGGCGTCTCTTCCCCAGGAGCTGAGAGATCCAAGCTGGACTCCTTGGAGGCCCAGATAGTAGAAAGCCTCCTTTTCCTGACAGTGGCTGGAGGGCTGACCCCTGCCGGGTGGGATGCAAGGCCCTGAGAGAAGTGTGCAGGCACTGGGGACCCACTGAGATAGGAGGCACCTCCTGATGGTCTTGTGGTCCCACCCAGGGCTCCCTCCTCAGGGGTGCTGTGTTTCAGGGGCTTTCTCAAGGTGGGGCTGCTGGTCGCTAGAAAGAGGCTGTCATCCTCGGAGGAGCTCAATCCTGGATCCTGCAAAGTAAAAACAGAGTTTTGAGTCCTAGAAGGTCGTGGGGAGCCTTGAGACAGGCATTAAACTCTGACCCCAGGCACATTCTCACTTGAGTATGACGGCCCCATGAGGCAGACCTGAGTTGTCACCCAGATAAGGGAGTGTGCAGAACACGGGGGCAGAACTGCAGGCCCTGAGATGGAACCCTGCACAGGGCTAGACCACACCCCTCTGTGCTTGCCTTTTCATGGATGTTATTATTGTCAAAACAGTAAGCGTCAGAGATGTATTTTTCAAGAACAGGATTGAAGCATTGATAACATTCTGGTAAAAATTTTTTTCCAACAGGAAAAATCTGTAAGTCGTTGTCAATGAAATCATCCTGACTTGTCAACTCACAACATAAAAAGGTAAAACTGCTGACAGATATTATAGTATTTTTATGAACAGGTGAAGCTCATTGGGCAGGTGGCTCGCAGTAGGTGGTATATGCCCTGGAGGTAACATCCCAACCCCGAGCCCCAGGAGGGACTGTAGCAATTCCATCACAGTCAATGTTTTCTTCCAAAAGAATGCCTTAAGTGGATCACGCTCCTGCACTCACACCCTTTTCTCAGATACTGATGAACTATACCCGGCAAGCACATTTGTGTTCACCATAAGGTATGTGCCTCTGCAGTGCCCCTTGAAGTCTGTCCATGTCAAAGTGACCTGACAGCAGATTGAGTTGTCCAATTGCTTTGTAATGATCTCTCGGTGTCTCAGACACACATGCACGCTCCTAACTGGCATCTCTGCACATCTGGCTGATTGACTACTAATTGAGGTAACTGCCAAAGCAATACCAGGTTTTTCATTTTATGTTTAATCCCACTTGAATGGAACAATTTCCTGCATTTATTTTTTGGTAGTAGGAGTAACAGTGCCCAGTTACAATGTCTGCTGCAGGCAATGACATCCTAAATCTATTAAGGAAGCCACTGTCATTCAGGGTGTAGAAAAAACTGGAACTTTTCTAAAAGAAGAGAATGTTAAAAATGGAATGATTTTGACATTTCCTGGTGCATGCCTGCCAATAGTGTATGATTAGCAAGTGCATGTCCATTGCCTGGACAGAGCCAGCAATCACAAGAATGCAGAATGTACCTGGGAGAGACTCAGAAAAGCACATCAGCATTCCTGAAAACAGGTCCACTCCAGTCTAAGGTAAAAGCCTGAGGACTGCACCTAGGAGTCTGCCTGCTCAGGACTGGCTTGTGGCTTCTTCCCGGGCTGACACCTGTGTCATAAGTTCAAGGACATCACCACTTTGCTAAATTATTGTACGCATTTGTGCACAGAGAGGATTATGTGGTAGTTAATTTTGGGGGAGGCACAGCTAGAAAGCATTTTAATGATGGTGAAGTAATAGAGAGCTAAGTTCCTCTTAGAACAAAGAGATAGATGAGCACTTGCTTTAAACCTGAGATGGATTAGGAATATTCATCCAAAGTGGTGGGAAAGTCTATTAGTTATTTACTGGGTAACAAATACACCAAAACTTAGTGACTTAAAACAGACATCTGGGTGCCGTGGCTCACACCTGTAATTCTAGCACTTTGGGAGGTCGAAGCAGGCAGATCATGAGGTCAGGAGATCGAGACCATCCTCGCTAACACGGTGAAACCCGTCTCTACTAAAAAAAATGCAAAAATGTAGCCGGGCGTGGTGGTGAGCGCCTGTAGTCCCAGCTACTCAGGAGGCTGAGGCAGGAGACTGCTGTGAACCTGGAAGGCAGAGCTTGCAGTGGGCTGAGATTGCACCACTGCACTCCAGCCTGGGCGACAGAGACTCCATCTCAAAAAAAACCAAAAAATAACAAAAACAAAAAAACCAAAAACAAACAAAAAGAAACACCAGACATCTGTAATTGTAATTTCTATGGGTCAGGAATTTGGGAGCAGCCTCTCTGGGCAGTTCTGGCTTGGGGTCTCCCATGAGGCTCTCATTGAGGTACTGGCTTCATTCATTTGAAGGCGTGACTGGGGACAGAGGGTCTATGCCAAGGTGGCTCACTACCCACATGCCCTGCAATTTGGTGCTAGCTATTGGTGGGAGGCCGCAGTTTATTTCTGCCTGGCCTCTCCAGGGGCTAGTTGAGTGTCCTCCAGATACAGAACTAGTCTCCTCCAGGGAGAGTGGGCCAAAAGAACACAGCATGGAGGCTGCAATGTGTTTGTAACTTCAGAACTCACACTGAACTTCAGAAGTCACACTCCTTCATTTCTGCTAAACCTATTGCTTGCACTAGTCAGTTTTCTTCAATGTGGGAGAACCCTACACAGGTATGACTACCAAATTGTGATGGTCACCGATGGCCATCTTAGGGACTGGCTGACATAGAAGAGATAGTGAAAATTGCATTTAAGGAGAAGCCAGAGTCCCTGGCCTGTGACTTCCCCTGCCTCACCCCCAATGTGAGGCCTCGGGGCTCCCCTCACTCTTCAGAGCACAGATAGCTGGACAAAGAATGGAAAGAGTCTGACGTCATCCCAAGAGATGAGTTCTGTATACTTCAAAGCCAGCACTCTGACATGGTTTTTGCATCCACTCTTGGGGGACCCTTCCTCAACCACCCTCCCCTCAGCTTTCAGGGGAAGGGGCTGCAGCACTTAAACACAGCTCTCATTTTCTACGCGAATCATCTTGTTAAAGTCAAACAATATAGAAACAAACAACTTATACTAGAAAGTCCAGTTGAAAGTCCAGTCTTAACCTTTCTCCAGTCCTTCTCCCTCTAGGTAGCTTCCTTTAGCAACGTGTTACCTCTCCTTCCAGCATATTTCCGTGTAAGCAAATATGATACATGCATTCCACATATAAAGTAGAAAACTTAGGCATCTGCATAAATGGAATCATAATACACGTTGTTACATAGTTTTCCACATCTTTGATGATTTCCCACTGACTCTTGTGAACAAAACAAAACAAGCACAATAGAATATTTGGATGTGGCATAATGAGACAGTATAGAAAGAGCTATGTGTTTAACTTCCCACCAAGGCCTTAGAATGAGGCCAGGGCAGAAGAGGTTAGAAAAAAAATGTGGTCTAGGGAAGGTTCTTCCTGGAACCATCTATTCAGTACAGTGTGCTGGAACATTTAAAATCTGTTCTCATTGATTTCTTATAGCATTCTTATGAGGTAAGTATGATTGTAGTCAAGTCACCAAAGGAAATACTCAAACCCAGAAGGTTTATTGGCCTGAAACAGAAGCAGCAACAATGAGGTGTGAACTGGAGTTGGTGAAACCAAGGCTTCCCCAGGAACAACTGTTCTGTGGAGGTCTGGTTTCACATCCCAAACACCTCAGGCTTGGCTGGAAAGGAGGGAGGGAGTGCCTCCTCCTTTTGGGATGATGAGTTGATCATGACCATTTACAGAGCTTCTACTGTGTCGCTCTTAGGGGTATGTTTATTTTGTACATTGTTTCCTTCAGCAAAACCCTTAAAAATGGATTTGTGTGAACTCCGAATAACCTGAAGGATAGGATTTACTCCAGAGCATGAGTCAGCATCAGAAACTGCCAAGCTGCTTTCCAGCATGCCTGCACCATGCTTCCATCCCACCAACCAGCACCCCTTACATTGCTGGTGGGTTGAAACAATGGTACAGGCAAGTTGAAAAACTGCTGCTTTACAGTTTAGTTGCTCCACATTTTACTATTATTATTATTATTTTGAGACAGAGTCTCACTCTCTCACCCAGGTTGGAGTGCAGTGGTCATAATCTTGGCTCACTGCAACCTCCTCCTCTTGGGTTCAAGCGATTCTCCTGCCCCAGCTTCCCGAATAGCTGAGATTACAGGCATGCACCACCACACCCAGCTAATTTTTGTGTTTTTAGAGATAGGGTTTTGCCATGTTGGCCAGGCTTGTCTTGAACACCTGACCTCAGGTGATCCACCCGCCTCAGCCTCCCAAAGTGTTAGGATTATAGGCGTGAGCCACCGCAGCCGGCAGTTGCTCCATGTTCTTACCCACATTTGGCACTGCCAAGTTTTAATTTTTAAAAAAGTTTTCTGACAGGCGAGTAGTGGCATCTCATTTACACGAGCAGCATCTTGCATAGTGGTTTTGATTTGTATTTCTGTAATGAGTAACGAAGTTGAACATCTTTTCACATATTTATTTACCATCGATATGACTCCTTTGGTAAGCTAAAAGAACTAAAAGCCAAATACATTTGTCATGTTAATAAAAGCAAACAATAAATTCACCTATTAAAACACTGAGATTGGATTAGAATGCAAAATCCAACTACACATTGCATACAGTGAGACATATCTAAGACAAAGTACTGCAGAAAGCTTCAAAGTAGAATTATGGGCAAATATAATGCCATAGAAGTACAAATGAAAAAATGTGGACATCAATATTTATATTGGAAAAGGTTGAATTTATGGCAAAATACACTAAACAAGACCAAAACTGGAAGCATAGTGTAATAAAAACAAAATGCATAGCTGTTATGATTACAACAGACAATACAGCATCAACATTCATAGAGTGAAATCCTAGGAAAAAAATATAGAAAAACAGAAAGCAGTAACTGAGACTAATTCACCTTTTTAAGCCCATGCTAGATCACAGGGAAGAAAAAAAAAAATCAAAATCCCATAGAAGATTATCTTGTTACTTGGAGGATAATCAGCACTTGGAAAGACTTTAAATTCTTCAACTTCAAAAAAGAGATCGAGATCTCAGAGTAAAGTTAAGAAATGGGGGTGAGAAGACAGACTGGGACTTTTATCAAACAGAAACTGCAAGGTAATACAAGTATATTTTTAGTAACAGAAACTACTTTTAACTAACTTATTTATAAAAGTGATCTAAAAATCAGTAATTAAATGTTGATAATTTGATGTTTTCTGATAAAATATTGTAATATATTGAAAGCTTACAGAGAAAACCATTTAGTATTGTTTTATAAATACATGCCCAGAACAGATGACCCAGACATGCATACGATGTCATTTGGCAAAAGGTATATCTCAAATGATAAGAATGTGTTTTTGTTCTCTTTCATCACATGCTCTTTCTGGCTGGTTGGCCACTTAGGAAAAAAACAACAACAGCAAAGCCAAGTCCCTCTAACTCATGGCTTACACTAAAATAAATGACAAGGAATCTAAGATTTTAAAAATTCACAAATTACCAGAAAAAAAAAAAAACCAAAAAAAATTTAAAAATCTGAAACAAATTCAGGTTCTTAGTGGATTAAAGACTTACATGTAGACAAGAAAGCCATAACAGTATTGGAAGGAACTAGCAGTGCATTATCTATAAACTTATGTAAGGCTTTGCTATGACTCACAACATAGAGGCCATAAAAGAAAAGAATTGGACTACATATAAACTTATAAAAACTTCTGCAAAAAAAAGGAAAGAAAAAAGATACACCAATGCAAAGATAAAAGATGAACCACAATTTCTATAAAAGATAAACAAGCAGTGAATCTTCCTATTTAGAAAAACATCCAACAACCTGATGGATAAATCCACAAAGTTTCTTAACAGTTCATAGAAACTGGTCCTTCAGTATACACATTCTGAACCTCATTCTCAGTAATAAAAATTCAGATCAAAATGAAACCAAATTCCCATTTGTTTTTATCTATTGGACTTCAAAAATTTAGAAGTATGAAAACTTTAGATAACACAGAGAGGAAACTGGAACATCTTCTGTGGAAGGCAATTGGGAAACTGGAACATCTTCTATGGAGGGCAATTTGGTAGCACTCGAATTTGTAAGTTAGTATTCTATTTGGACACCAAGTCCCCTTCTAGAGAGTTACTCTATAGAAGGATATTGGAAGCAGCTAAAAACAACATTTCCTTATGGTGGGGAAAGGGCTGGAGGACAGCAGCGGTCAGTGTGCATTTTATGCTTTTGAAACTTTATGCTCTTATACTTTTGATCACTTTTGAAACCCTACACGTGCATTTTCTATTTATAAATAAAAAATAGAAAAAGAATCCCTATTTCTCTGACGAAGAAGCCCAGACACAGGGAGACTAGGAATGGGGTGCCTAGGGCGGCTGGGTTGGGAGAGGAGTTACTTCTCCATCCAGCAGGTGGAGCTGTAGGCTCCAGAGCTGTTTGCAACGCAGGGTGCTAAGGACAGGTTTTAACTTCAGGTGGGATTGTGATCTACTTCTGCAGGACGGCATTTCCTTTTGCATCTAGAGCATGAGGTGTCCTGTCACTGTGCCCTGGGGCTGCTGGTCCCCTTGGTGGCCTGGCTTTCCCTAAGGGCTGTGGCTAAGGTGGTTCTTAATGCTGAGGTTCCAAAGGCCTCATGAGACAGACCAACGCAGGAGATGGAGGAGAACCAATGCCCAGTGTCTCAGGACAATGCCTGACCCCACCTGATGTCACTGAGATTGTGCATGGGCTCTGGGGAACCTGGAGGGCCTGGGACACACCTGGGGCCTCAGAGCCCAGGCTGGGGAGATGTGGAGGCCCAGAGGCTCTGGCAGAAGATCTCTCTTGCAGGCCATGACATGGGCATCAAGAGGAGACTCTGGGCAAGGCTCCCGAGGCCCCCAGGGTGTTAGTGCCTGGCCTGCCCAACCCACAGGCAGGCAGGACCAGGCCACAGCTTTGTGCCAGCTCAGGACAGGGCCAGGCCTACAGCCAGTCCTCACCCAACCTCTTGCTCAGGCAGCCTTGTGTGCCTTCTCTTCCTACTCACCTACCACCTCTTACTGTATTCAACTAGATCTCATTCCCAGGCTGCACGCCTCCCCACCTACCTGCACCCCAGGCTCCATCCTGCTTTGCCTCTGGGGCTGGCTTCCAAGTGGGCAGTTGTAGCGCTCACCCTGTGGCCCTCAGCGCCGAGAAATACCTGCTGTGTCCCCACTTAGGCCCAGGCAGGTGTGCAGCAGCCCACTTGAGCCCGAGTTAGCCTGATGGCCACGCCATCGCGCAGGTGTGGGGCAGGTTTTCCTTGTCCTCTAGGCCTTCCCCTTGTTGGTTTCTGTTGTGTGCACCTGAGCCTGCGGGAAGTGAAGGCTGGCTGGGCACTTGTGGCCCCCCCGCCCAGCCCCCAGCAATAAGCCACCTGTGCCAAATACTGTTTGATGTGCATCATCACAACAACCTAAAGGAATGGCAATAACCACCCCAACTCAATCCACAAGGCAACTGAAAAAAAAGAAACACATTTCCATATCAAGAAAAGCTGAGAGGACCCACAGCCATTTATGTTTCTCTGCAGAAGACTGCTTACCAGTCCTTCATTCAGTGCTTCTGAAACTTGAGCTGCTCAGAACCTTCGGGAGGGGAGGGCGGGTTAGAGCACGGAGCGATGGGCCAGCCCCAGTTCCTGATTGGGCAGGCCTGCGCAGGGACCCGTGATTGGTATCACCTAACGACTCTCAGGTGCTGCTCTGTTGCAGGTCCACTTAGGAACCACTGCATGAATGAAAGGCAACACGTGCCACAGAGTAATGGTAAATTAATCTTTGCCAATCTATACTAAAGCTGATCTATACTAATAGTAATCTCTAACCATGCCTTACGTTTTTTGGAGGATAAAACTAAAAAGAGCAATTCAGAAGCTTAGTAATGACTAGAATGATCTGTGGTAGTTTGTTCTTAGACATAATCTCAGTTTTCTAACAACCCCAAAGCAAAATGTTTAGTAGGCCTATGTTATTTTATTATTCATTTACTTACCTTTTTTTTTTTTTTTTTTTCTTCAGACAGAGTCTTGCCTTGCTCTGTAACCCAGGCTGGAATACAATGTGATCTCGGCTCACTGCAACCTCCGCCTCCCGGGGTCAAAGGATCCTTCTGCTTCTGCCTCCCAAGTAGCTGGGACTACAGGTGTGTGCCACCATGCCTGGCTAATTTTGGTACTTTTTTGTGGACACAGGCTTTGCCATGTTGCCCAAGCTGGTCTCGAACTCTGCGTGATCCACCCGCCCCGGCCTCCTGAGGTGCCAGGGTTACAGGTGTGAGCCACCATGTACGGCCAGTAAGCCTGTTTTAATAAGCCCATAGTTGTGGGGCAAATTGCTGGAGCTCACCTAGTGGTATTTAGCAGAACCAAGACAAGAACCCAGGACCGTCTGACTCCAAAATAAGTGCTTTCTAACCCTTGCTACTCTGGATTGTTTTTCTAAATTTTGCCACTAAGTTGCCGTGTGATTTTGGTGAACGAATGCTGTCTCTGGCTCTCTCCTTTCTCTGTAAAATGAAATACTATGTGAGGGCTTTCCCAGCTCTGAAACATCTGCACAGAGGAACCTGAATGAGGAGGCACGGCTGCAGAGCTAAGGGGCTCTCAGCACCCAGGCCTGTGTGCAGCATGCAGAGCTGAGGCCTGCAGTGGATGCTCACCATCACCCTCTGACTGTTTGCTTTCAGAACAATAAGTGGCAACAGAGGTTGAGATCCCTGAATCATGGGTTCTTCCTGAGGCTTCAGAGAGCGCTAGAGAGGGTTTGTCAGAGAGCAGACCCCGACGAGACCCATCCCAGCTTGTCCTGGTTGGCACAGAGCAACACAGCCGGGTGACTGGCCCCAGGTTCAAGTGCTGAGGGTGGCTCGAAAGTCTTCTACCCTGGGGGTGGGGCTCTTGGGGTACAGCCTTTCTGGAGTGCAAGTTGGTGTTAACGTATGATACACTTAAAAGTATGGATGGCCTTGAACCAGCAACTCCACTTATATGAGTATGTCAGGAGATAATCAAACTGAGTCGTTCCCTATTTCCTGTTACTGGTAGCCATGGAGTGTTACCTTTAAGAGCTCAAGTAGATGCAGGGTGCAGAGCCAGGAAAAGCACACTGATGAAATCAATTAGAATGAGGCCAAGACGGCCGGGCGCGGTGGCTCACGCCTGTAATCCCAGCACTTTGGGAGGCCGAGGCGGGCGGATCACAAGGTCAGGAGATCGAGACCACGGTGAAACCCCGTCTCTACTAAAAATACAAAAAATTAGCCGGGCGCGGTTGTGGGCGCCTGTAGTCCCAGCTACTCGGGAGGCTGAGGCAGGAGAATGGCGTGAACCCGGGAGGCGGAGCTTGCAGTGAGCCGAGATCGCGCCACTGCACTCCAGCCTGGGCGACAGAGCGAGACTCCGTCTCAAAAAAAAAAAAAAAAAAAAAAAAAAAAAAAAAAAAAGAATGAGGCCAAGACGAGTGGATCATCTAAGGTCAGGAGTTCGAGACCAGCCTGGCTAAAATGGTGAAACCCCATCTCTACTAAAAATACAAAAATTAGCCAGGCATGGTGGTGTGCACTTGTAGTCCCAGCTACTCAGGAGGCTGAGATACGAGAATTGCTTGAACCTGGGAGGAGGAGGCTTCAGTCAAAAAAAAAAAAAAAAAAAAAAAAAAGAACAAAATCGACACAGGCACATATGTACACACATATACAAAAAGAGACACACAGAAATGGTAGCATTGGTGATATCCAGATGGCAGGATGATGGATAAACTTTAACATCACTTAATTGCTTCACATTTTTCTAAAAACAACACCTAATGAATAAGAGTTTTTGAAAGTAAAGCTCCCTTAGCACAGTCAATTCATTTTCCAGATGGGAACCTGAGGGCAGCAGAAGGGAGAGGCTTGTCCAGAGTACTGGAGTGAAGCAGCAGGGGCTGCTTGGTCCCGGTTCCTGCTCAGGTCTCTGTTCCCTGCACTGTGCCACCTGGGAGTGACTGAGGACAGAGTGGTTTGTTCTTAGACTGGAGTCCTGAATTACTTTTGAAAGTGTAGGAGTCGAAATTCCCTGTCGTAAGACCTTAACAGTCCCAGGCAAGGATGAGACAGATGCACTTGGAAAGTATTTGTCAGAAGTATCACTTGGCCCCAGAACAGTGGCCTGCAGAGATGACCATGCCCCATTCCCCTGAACCTGTGAATCTGTTCTGTCACATGGGAAAAGAGACTTTGCTGATGGAATTAAGGGTCAGACCTTACAATTGGGAGAGTATGCTGGGGAGTCAGAGGACAGCAGAGTGTGTCCTGGTTAGAAGGGGTCAGAGGGCAGGAGAGAGGGGCAGATAGCATCAGAGAGCCATCAGGGTGAGGCCATGTTGAATCTTGTAGAGGACAAAGAAATCACAATGACTTTCCCAGAGAGCCCTCCTGAGCACAGGGCTGAGCCCAAGGAAGAAAACAGGATCTCAGATAACTACCATGACAACCCTCTTCCCCGGTGAGGAACCCTGACCTCCCATAGTGTAATTATTTTCTATCACAAGGACTGATACAGAAAAATTTGCTGTGGCAGGTGCTATTCCATTTGCCAATGGGAAAACTGGGGCACAGAGCTATCAGGCAACTTGCCTGAGATCACACTGCTGCTAAGGACCTTGCCCTGACCCCATCTCATCTCCCAAAATACAGCACAAAACTAGCCAGGCCACCCCCAGGGCCCCTTCTGCCCATCAGGCCAACCCCAGGGTTTTCTGACCTCCAAGTCCCCAGAGTTGCCTCCTGACTCTAGGGTTGCCCTGACCTCCTGATTTAAGGGTCGCCCTGACCTCCTGAATCTCAGGTCTCTGTGATCTCCTGGCACATAGGTATCCTGGCTTTGGCATGGTGTAAGGATATTTTGTTTGCGTATGGGAATAATATAATTGAGAAACCAAAGTGTGTTTCCACAGAGTGGTGTTAACCTGGCACTGGGTGGCAGCTGTCAGCTCCTGTCATGGCCATGATTGGATAGCCACCAGGGGAGAAGCCATGCATGTGCCTGCAAGCTCCCGGGTCCGAGCCTAGAGCCCGACACATTCTCTTCATTGGATCCCAGGAAAGCTCTGCAGCACAGAATCCCAAACCCCTCACTGCACAAGACATGTGGGCTCTGAATTCATATGCAATCCAAGTCCAATCTGCCAGTTTGGGTATGGCTGTTAGTCAGCCATGTTGAAACCCCATTAGGGTTACATACAGTGGCTTGTGGCAGTGGTGGCAGGACTAGGTTCAGAGCCCAGCTCTTGTCATCTTGCTGACATGGGCCTTGGAGGGGACACACAACCCTGGACAATGAGAGCCCCTTGCTGGGTCTTGTGATAAGGTGTAGAAAATCCTCAAGACAGTGCATGGCATGTGGTAAACTCAACAACTTTTAGCACCTTCTGTCACTACATCTTCTACCCACATTGTTACAGTTATGATTTTCCACCAGCATTTCCCTTCTCTGCCCCCATTTCCACTGAATATGTTTTTGTGGAAACTCCACCACAACAGATAACATGTTGTTTTCTACACAATCAGTGTGCTCTAGGTTGCTTTTGACCCCAGGATGTAAACAAGTGGCCAGTACTCTTTGTAAAGCACCACAGGGTGGGGAAAAACTATTGTATTAGTCTGTTCTCACACTGCTATAAAGAAATACCTGAAACTGGGTAATTTATAAAGAAAAGAGGTTTCATCAGCTCATATTTCTGAAAGCTGTACAGGATTCTGCTTCTGGGGTCATCTCAGGAAACTTACAATCATGGCAGAAGGCAAAGAGGAAGCAAGCACTGTCTTCACATGGTGGAGCAGGAGAGAGAGAGGGAGAGAGAGAGAGAGAGAGGAAGGGGAGGTGCTATACACTTTCAAACAAGAAGCATTAGGGGGATGGTGCTAAACCATTAGAAACCACTCCCATGATCCAATCACCTCCCATTGGGACCCTCCTTCAACATTGGGAATTGCAATTTAACATGAGATTTGGGTAGGGACACAGAGCCAAACTGTATCATTCTGCTCTTGCTCCCTATGAAATCTCATGCCCTTATCACATTGCAAAATACAATCATTCCTTCTCAATAGTCCCCAAAAGTCTTAACTCATTACAACATTAACTCAAAAGTCCAAGTCCAAAATCTCATCTGAGACAAGACAAGTCCCTTTCACCTTGAGCCTGTAAAACTAAAATAAGTTAATTACTTCCAAGATACAATGGGGGTACAGGCATTGGAT